GGTGAGGAGTAACGAGCAACTACAGCAGTGTACAGGTCCTTAGCAGTCTTGTGCTGGCCAAAGTGCTCGCGCTCATCTAGCGGCAGGGAGTTGCGAATAGCGAAGCGAGCGTGGGCGTCACGAGTCTGCCACTGTGAGCGCTGAGTGCTGTCTGCAGTGGTAGGAGGGGCAGTAGCGTGACCGAGGGCATGATCGTACAGCGAAATATCCTCCTTGGCAGTGAGCTGTAGGAAGAGGTGCAGGTCATCTAGCCAGGTGTCAAACTTCACTGGGCGGCCCTCAGCATCGAAAGCAAGTACGGGAGGACTGGCCATAGTGGCAGCAGTAGTAGCAGTAGGAGCAGTAGTAGTAGCCGTAGGATCAACAGTTGTAGTAGCAGTAGGAGAAGTAGGAGGAGCAGCAGTATCGACGGGGCTGCTAGTACGGGCGGCGCGGCTCGGTTCAGGTAGGGCGGCGCGGCTCGGTTCGGGCTGCGCGGCTGCGCGGAGTCGCTAAGTGGGGCGGTACGGGGCCGCGGGGGCCTCTAAGCGGGGCTCGACGGGGCCGTGGGGCCGCTAAGCGGGGCGCAGCAGGGTCGCGGGGCCGTGAGGTGGCGGGCGACGGGGCCGCGGGGCCTCTAGGCGGGGTTCGACGGGGCCGCGGGGCCGCTAAACGGGGTGCGCGCGGGGTCGACGGGGCCGTAAGCGGGGCGCGTGCGGGACCGACGGGGCCGTAAACGGGGTGCACGCGGAGTCGACGGGGCCAAACGGGGCCTTAAGCGGGGCGCGCGCGGGTCGACGGGGCCAGCGGGGCCTCTAAGGGGGGACGCGCGCGGGTCGACGGGGCCAAGCGGGCCGGAATCGGGGCGCGCGCGGGTTCGACGGGGCCACTAAGGGGCAGCGCGCGAGTCGCTAAGGGGCGGCGCGCGGGGTCGACGGGGCCTTAAGGGGCCGTACACGAGGGCGCACGAGGGCGCTGAGGGGGAGGCGCTAACGCAACACTCCGACAGTAGGGCGCACTGAGGCGCTAGGAGGCAGTCAGTAGAGGTGGGCCCGAAAAAAAAACTTAGGTCCTAGCGAAGGACCTGCTCTGAAACCATGTCAGAAGAACTGAACGAGGAATGAATGAACTAGCAGTGAAATGAGTACAAGTACCTAACCCTAGAATTGTGTACCCCCTATAGGCTAACCCACTGCAGCCTAAACAAGCACAACACATATAATGTTTGACAATAGACAAACATCACATTCTGACAGAGCCATGCCTTGTATTCGTGGCTGATGCTGAGGTGGATGCCCCAGCGTACGCGGCTTGCGAATTTGCCGATAGTTGACGTCGGCGGGCGATATTGCACCATGCACCCCCGGACGCGGAGCATGGATGTGTCGCCTTTGGTGCCCGTCCACTTCAGGTGCGGGGATAGATTGCCGGTGATGGAGGTGGTTGACAGCACGACGTGGTGCATCACGTAGGTCCAATACGTTGGCGGAAGTTTTGATTGCTTCAGCAGTGCCCGAACCTTCGTCATGAGCGCGCGATTTGCGCGCTCGACGACACCTTGCTGCGAGTGTGCGTAGGGGAGAGAGATGTGGTGCCCAATGCCCTTCTGCGCCAAGTAGTCCTACAGCTCCTTGCCGCGAAATTCCGCTGCGCCGTCTGATTGCCAAATCTTCAACTTCTTCCAAGATTGCCGCTGCGCGTGCGCCAGCCAGAGGTGGAAGACCTCGTACGCCCTGCTGCGGAGTTCGACGTTGACTACCCACACGTAGCGGGTTCCCGCGTCAACAAATGTGAGTGTGTACTGCGCGTCATTAAGCCCGCAGTGGCCGACGACGAGGAAATCGCTGTACACATTGTGCAGCTTTGGGTAGCGTTTCCCGGCTCCAGTAGGGGGAAGGGTTGGTGGCATAGCACAGCTTCAGGACAGACGGTGAAGTTACGCAATTATGACGTGCTCCTTACATCGGAGCCGTCAGGGCGCAGGAGAGCGCCAGGTGTGAATACGCCTGCGTCGATGCAGTTTTTCAGCGTTGCGTGCGATGGGTGACCGAGGCGCTGATGCCAAAGTTCGTCGTTGGCGCGGAATCTTGAGGTGCACATATAGCGCGTGCGCACTGTCTCAGGGTCTTCTTCTGGTACTGGGGCATGTTCAGCTGCCGCTTCTTCAGCTTCTTCTTCGTCGTTCGTCGTCGTCAGCATCAGCGCCGGAAATTCTCTGTCAAGAATCACAGAGAGGGGAATGTTAGTACCAAGGATCATGCCGGGTACGAAGGTAGGCTTGTGCGGCTTGGGACCGGGTCCGTAGATTGTGCGGCGCGGAGTCGACGGTTCGTTGCCGCAGTCGATGGTGTCCCGGGGGTCGTGGTGCGGCTAGATGTCAGACGGGGGCAGCGAAAGTGCGGGAAGGTGTGGAGGGCGGCCGAGACGAACAACGCGCGGTTCGGCTTCTGCAGTCACTTCTGCTTCCCCCCTTTGTTCTTCTCGCCAGGCACTCCAGCCGTTACCGGAAGCGCCCCATCCGCTTGTGTCGCCGCCAGTTCTGGCACCCCAGCCGCTAGTGTCACTCGTTCCCCATCTGCTAGTACCCCCACCTTCCCCTTTATTGGAGACGCTTTCCTCCTCTACTCCCCAAGCAGCGCAGGCAAACGTGCCGCACACTTCGACGATGCTCTTCCGTCGAAGATCTTTGGCTTCGCGGCACGCCAACTCTTCTTCTTGTTCCACGGTGAGTGTCGTCGTGGGGTCGCACCAATGGGGATAGAGCTCAAGGTATTCCGTGTAGGGGCGCGCCAACTTTTCCTCGTGTAGGGGCGCGCTATTCCGTGCGCGTCGAAAGTTCCGCGGCGTTGTCCGCGCAGGATTCCTTCGAGCTGCTGGGAAGAGGGACCTGAGTGGGGGCTCTGTTCGGCACCGAAGACGCGCTGCGACGTGATTTGGAGCTCCAGTGCCAACATCCCTTCTTTTGGCGGCGCGGATCGTTCAGCTTCAGTGATGGCGGCGAGGCCGCGGCCAGCGATTGTGCTTGATGAGGCGGTGGGCGTATGGCAATCCCTGCAGATGCGTCTGGGTTAGGTTTATGTAGCGCCAGCTCGCGTGGGTGCAGGTGATGTGGCACCCACGTCCTCCCGTCAAAATACTTCCACTCCTAACGGTGGATGTGCTCGAAGTGCAGTGGAACAAGGTCGATTAGCTCGTTCGAGTCGCTGCTGCAGTCAGGAATGTCAAAATCGAGGGTATATTTTCAGAATGTGCTCATTTGATCTGCTTGCGTGGCTTGTTCGGCCCAGTGTAGTGCAGCAGGATGTCGCGTGTCTCAGGGTCGGTGCTGAGATCGACTTCGCAATCTATGAGTTGCGCCGCCGAGAGGAGATTGAAGCGGAGTTTCTGCACGATCAGCACGTCGTTCAACGTGATGTGCGTCCTGTTCCCTCGCGCCGTGAGAACCACGATGCCTTGCGCGCTTGCGCGCAGGCGTGTGTTGTTCGCCACGGTGACGTAAGTTACCATGAAGGTGAGGATGGCGTTGGATATGTAACGCTCGGAGCCCACCATATGCTGCCCACGGCAGCTATCCAAGTGCCACGTGTTGTGGAGCCCGTTGTCGTCGCACGCGAGCAGCGCAAATCGCGGCGTGACTCGACCAGGTCGGTTGGACCAGGTGCTCGGATTGGCCTGGCGAGGGCGAGAGCGGAATTTATATCGCTCTGCCAAGTGCGCGAAGTTTCTGCAGATATTGTAGTAATGGCGCCGCGGCTGTTGCTCTTCTGTGTTGTCTGCGTAGAAGGAAAGGCGTTCCCAGTCTCGTCGCGGCGCTGGTTGCGGCTGATCCATATCCCTTTGTTCGATAAGAAGGGCGGCGCGTAGGGCGACTTTTGAGATAACCCCTTGCTGTCGGAGTAGCACCTTGCAGGGCCGCCATTCTGGCCGAGCCCTTAAAGTACGATGTATTTCACGATTTGATCACGTAAGCTCCGACAGCGATTGATGTAGCTGTTGGTTTTCTCCCCTGGGGCCATTTTTGTCTCCAATAGCCGCTGGAGCTTCCGGCTCGTTAAAACCGAATCGTTCAGTTGATATACGCCGTTGAAATGTCGCCAGGCGTCGAGGGCGAGGGCCGAGCATACGGTCGTACAAGACAACGTCGGCCCTCGCCATTAGGGCCCTCGTACGACCGTATGCTCGTACGACCGTATGTTCGTTGTCTTGCACCCTGGAGACAGCGGGTCCGACATAGCTAACGTCGAAGTAGTGAAATATCTGCGCGTTTTGCAGCAGCAGCTCCAGCTCGAAGCTCCACGTATAGAAGTCTCTGCCGCAAAGCACACTTCTTTATAAGTCTTTATTGTTGATATGCTCAAGTGTCAAGATAGTAGGCAGGAATGACTGCATTGAATGAAATGTGGGTACAATTACTTTCCCTAACTTTGGGTTGTACCCCATATGGGCTACCCCACTATAGCCTACACAGAACTAACACATATATAGTTTGACACACCCCCATAGGCAAAGTGGGGGAGAACAAGGGGTCACAAGACCAGTCAAGAAAAACAAAACAAGCTCAAGGTGGATCACAAAGTCACCACACACACTGAGCACAAGCAAGAGGCCACAAGGCCAGTTCACATGCAGAGTTATAAAAGCACAAGCAATACAGTGATCACAACCTAGCAGGTGTAAGCATGCAGGTATACGTATATATAGATCACGGTACAAGCAAGTCAAGAAGTAAGCAAGTGAGGAAACGTAGGCAATAGGCCTAGAGCAGTACAGAAGCGCTGTTGGTCACCAGACGGAATAGCCTTGGTGAACACATCAGCAGTGTTGGCCCGAGTGGCCACGTAAGCAACACGAAGCTGACCACGCTGCTGCAACTCTCGAGCAAGAAAGTAACGCAGAGCGATGTGCTTCGTTCTGTGCTCCTGACACAAGGTAACAGCAGCCTTGTTGTTGACCTACAGAACTAGAGGAGAATGAGACCTCTCTCCTAAGTCGGTCAGCAGGTAGGTGAGCCAGCGTAACTCCTATGCAGCCATGGCTGTGGTGTAGATCTCAGCCTCACAACTGGAGCTGAGAACAGAAGACAAGCGGGTAGACTGCCAAGAAACAGAGCCGGAGCCAAGGCTGAATGTGTAACCCTGTGACGACCGCTGCGTAGCCAGGTCGTCAACCCAAGAAGCATCTGAGTGTCCAGTGAGGACAACGTCACCCCGTCCGCTAAGCACGAGCCCCATGCCCGATGTACTGCACAAGTAACGCAGTACCCTCTTCGCAGCATCCCAGTGCACCTTTCGGTGTCTACCAGGAGCCACATAGCGTGCCAGAAGGCCAAGAGTGTACGCGAGGTCAGGATGAGTGCAGGTCATCAGGTACATGAGGCAACCCACTAGCTCTGGGTAAGGACCACTCGGCTCTACGGACTCATCCGAAGGCAGAGCTGAGAGCGAGTGACCAGTAGCCAGAGGAGTGGACTGTGGGGAGGACCAAGTGAAGCCGAAGCGCTGAAGGACCTGCTGCACCATGTGTGACTGAGTCAAGGTGATGGTGCGGCGTGCTCTGTCCCGGGTGATCTGCAAGCCAAGGTAACTGCGCAGCTCACCCAGGTCTGTGCACGTGTGTCTCTTCTGTAGCTCCGACTTCACAAGGGCGAGTGCCTCAGTGTCAGCAGTGGCAAAGACCAAGTCATCAACGTACACGAGGATGTAGAACGGCGGCAGCGAGGTGTCGGTGCGCAGAAACAGCGACGGGTCAGCTGTCGAAAGAGCAAACCCAAGAGCCGCAAGTGTCGCCCTCAGTGTGTCGTGCCACTCACGAGGCGCCTGACGGAGACCGTAGACTGGCCGGCGGAGGCTCCACTGGGTACCAGGAGGGAACGACCCAGTGAAACCAGGTGGGCAGCGCAGCGAGATTTCCTCGTGCAGACTGCCCTGTAAGAACGCTGTGCTGAAGTCGAGAGAGTGAAGCTCGTAGTCACGCTGAGCGGCAACGTGCAGCAGCACCCGAAGAGTGGTCATCTTCGGGGTAGGGGAGAAGGTCTGGAAGACGTCTGAAGCCTTGTGCAACGTAACGAGCCTTGAAGATAGGCGGAGAACCCGGCGGCCGCTTCACCCTGAAAATCTACATGCCATCGACGATGTTCGCCCAAGGAGGGGGAACCTCGTCGACGTAAGTGCCTGTGGACTTCCAGGATGCCATCTCTGCGTCCATGGCCGTCTGCCACTGAGAGGAGTAGTCACCCGAAATCGCCTCTGCGTAAGAGCGCGGGGGGGGGGGATGTCAAGTGCATCTGGGTCTCCCTCAGGGGCAAGCAGCATGGCCACGAGATGAGGCGCAGCGAGGGCAAGACACTCAAAGTCCTCCTGCCTGTCCTCTAGGACGTCCGTGCCAAGAGCACACTCACCTCCGACGGACGGAGGACAGACAGACTCAGACTCAGCAACAAGAGCAGTGGCGTAGTCTAGACGACAGGCAGCAGCAAAGTCCACAAGCTCAGCAACTAAGGCAGACGCAGCAGCAAACTCAAACGACGGGTCAGTGACAACAGTGGCAAGCAGACGCGTGACAGTAGGGTGAGCAGCACGAACCAGGTCAGACTCAGGGTCCGGAACGTCAGGCAGAGAAGACGCAGGAGGAGACGGCAGGGGAACACGCTGCGGAACAGAGGAAGGACGAAGTGCCATACCATGCGTGCCAGGGACAGGAGGAGGACGCTCACGAGGAACACGACGACCAGTGCGACGAGCGCGAACCGGCGAGGCAGGACGAGACGCAGGCTCACGACGCTCTGTAAGCGAGTCGGTCTGCTCAGTGTAAGGAGAAGGAGCAGGCAGTGGTGAGCCTGGCTGTAACGGGAGGCCAGTAGAAGACGGGAGGCTAAGAACCTGGCGAAGCACGGTGGCAGGCGGTGGCAGAGACGACGGTGACGGCGGAGCGAAGAACAGTCGCGGCTGTGCAGTGTCACCAGCACTTGTAGCGCCAACGCCTCCAGCAGCTCCATAACCTCCAGCTCCAACGCCTCCAGCAGCTCCTGAACCTCCAGCAGCTCCAGTGCCTCCAGTAGCTCCAGAACCTCCAGCTCCAGCGCCTCCAGCAGCTCCAGAACCTCCAGCTCCAGCGCCTCCAGCAGCTCCAGAACCTCCAGCTCCAGCGCCTCCAGCAGCTCCAGCGCCTCCAACAGCTCAAGAACCTCCTGCTCTAGCGCCTCCAGCAGCTCCAAACCCCCTGCTCCAGCGCCTCCAGCAGCTCCAGAACCTCCAGCTCCAGCGCCTCCACCAGCTACAGAACCTCCAGCTCCAGCGCCTCCAGCAGCTCCAGAACCTCCAGCTCCAGCGCCTCCAGCAGCTCCAGAACCTCCAGCTCCAGCGCCTCCAGCAGCTCCAGAACCTCCAGCTCTAGGGTCTCGCGCCGCAACCTCCAGTCGCAGCAACCCCAAAACCGGCACCTCCAGCTCCAGGCTCTCCAGCTCCAGTACCTCCAGTAGTAGCACCCCCAGAAACGGCACCTCCAGCTTCAAGGTCTCCAGCCTCAGTGCCTCCAGCAGCAGCACCCCCAGAACCGGAAACTTTAGCTCCAGGGTCTCCAGCCTCAGTGCCTCCAGCAGCAGCACCTCCAAAACCGGCACCTCGAGCACCAGGGTCTCCAACTCCAGAGTCGACAGCACCAGCTCCAGGGTCTCCAGCCCCAGTACCTCCAGTCACAGCACCCCCAGAAGCGGCACCTCCAGCGCCAGGGTCTACAGCCCTACTACCTCCAGCAGCGCGACTCCGACGGCGGTAGCGCTGAGCGTACCACTCGCGTAGCTGCTGTCGCGAGAGAGGTGGCCGCTGCAGCGCAAAACCAAGAGGACCGGTAAGAGACTCAACACCCCTAGAACCAGCACCTCCAGCTCCAGCAGAACCGCCAGTCCTGGCAGCTCCATTACCCCCAGTACGAGCACGTCCATAACCAGAAACACCAGTACTCCCAGCGTCTCCACGACGAGCAGCACCAGCAGCTCCAACCGCAGCACCTCGAGCAGCCGTACCTCCAGCAGCAGGACCTCCAGCTCCAGCAACACGACTCCTCAGGCGGGTACGCCACGCAAGCCACTCTCGTAGCTGCTGTGGTGAGAGAGGTCCCCGCCGTGAAACGAGACCCGGAGGAACGCCAGCTGACTCAACACCCTCCGACCCGGCACCCTCCAGCTCAGCACCCTCAGGCTCCGCACTCGTAGGCTCAGCACCCCCAGGCTCCACACCCCCCAGCACCTCACGCACAGGCTCAACACGCCCAGACGCAGCACCCTAAGTAGCACCACCCCCAACAGCACCAGAGTCAACAGTAACCGGCTGCAGAGGCGGCGAAGACGGTCGCGGCGGGAAACCCGGAGGGGTCTCCAAGCGTGGTGTGCGGCGGTAGGCCGCCGGGGCGTCAGCAGCAACGTCACCCCCCTCAGCTGGGCCAGAGGTGTCGGAAGTGACCTCCAAAGGCTCAGCCAAGGGGAGTGGGTCTACCTAAGACACACCTGAAGGAGCAGGACCCTGAGGGGGGAGGGGGTCTACCGGAGGGGGACCTGGAGCGAGGAAAAGCGGCGGGGGAAGGAGAGGGGCAGTGCGGTAGGGGAAGAGACGGTAGAAAGGAACCGACTCCAAAGCCAAGGAAGACACAGGGAATGGTGCGGAGGAGAGCTTGTCCGCTGACGGATCGCGGACAAGGGCACGAGCACCCCAGACTTGGAACCGCGACGCATCGCCAACCTCCCCCGTCCAATGCAGTGTGGGCGAGGTGTTCGGCAAGGAGGCACAGGGCCAGAGGTTGAGCGGCTGCGCGGCGTACTGGACCGCAAACGGCCACAGAAAATGGGGAGCCGCCGCATGGATCAAGGAGGTACGAGCGATCTCCATGACCAAGCCAATGCGGCGCTCAGCAAACCCATTTTCCTGCGGTGGACCCGGAAGCGTGAACGACTGCTCGATGCCCTCCCTCTGACAGAAGGCCCGCAAGAGGTTGGAGGAGAACTCACCACCTCTGTCAGAGTGCAGACGCAGGACAGGAAGGTACGACCGGAACCGGCGGCGGAGGTGGAAACAAACTGCTCGGATCCAAGGGATCAAAACAGCAGGGACCTCACCCTTGGTGCGCAAGGGGAAGACCGTGGTGTAACGCGAGTAGTCGTCGACAACCAGCAGAAAGTACCGCACGCCGCCCTGTCCACTGACGCGGGCTGGGCCCCACACGTCCAGGTGGAGGGTCTGCAGGGGAGCCTCTGTCGGGGGAAACGAGGAGGAGTGAGGAGCGGCGCACTGCCGCCCCTCGACGCAAGGAAGGCAGGGCGACGCACGCGAGGCAGGGAGGGGAGGGAGAGACCTGGGAAGACCAGACACAAGGAGGCGACGGTGCATGCCACGTAGACGTGGCAAGGAGGGGTGACCCAGACGGTGGTGCCAGAGAAGAGTCTGGTGCGTCCGGGAGCGACACTCACAAGGGGAGGCTACCAAACCTGACGCAGACACCTGACCGACAGCAGCTACCTGAGGAGACACAGTCGTCAGTGTGTAAAGACTCGACCCTGGCCGACGAGTGAACGTGGCCAGGTGACGGCCAGTCCTGGAGCACGTACAGATCGCCACACGCTGTCCTCCAGGGGTAAAGGTGTCAACCCAATGATCCTGGAGGACTGCGTTGCTCACCAAGTTCATCGAGAACGAGGGGAGGTGGAGACCTGACAGTGAGCCAGACGGAACCGCCGGGCACGGAAGCACAGTGGTGGACCGTGCAAGAACTGGGCCCCCTGAGGGGTCAGCCAGAGAGTCCGCAACAGGTGCAGGGAGTGGTGTGGGTGCAGTTCTGTCACAAAAGAAACAGCGGAAAGCACCTGAGTCAAGCGTGAAGGTGTGCAAGGCCTCAACAGGCGCAGTACCTGAGGGAGCAGACTCACTAGCACCTAAGGCAGCAGCCTCACTAGCACCTAGAGCAGCAACCTCTATACCGGGGTCGTACTGCACACACAGGTAACAGTCACTCTCAGCACCACCACGCAGAGCAGACATGGCAGTATAGATGGCGTCATAGTCTAAAGCAAAGACATCAACGCCCGACCGAAGCAGCTCAAGCCAGTGAAGGATCTCAGCCTCGTCGCCAAACTCTGCGTGCCAGGTGTCAGTCAAATAGGAGAAGCAGCGGGACTGTGCGTGACCAGGTGTCCCACAGGTCTGACCAGCTCGACGACCTGTGCGAATGACGTACGGGCAGCGACCAGGACTCGGAGACGGCCCACGCTGGTAAAGCCACTCACGAAGCTGCCGGGGCGTAAGGGTCGGACGCTGTCGTAGCTGCATCTGGCCACCGCCAGAAACTCCGCACCGAACAGCGCCACAGTGACTGCTACTACGGCCGCCACCACTCTCACTGTTGCCACCACCACCACCACCACCACTCCCACCGCTACTACAAAGTGAAGTCATGGCAGGCAAGGTAGGAGGAGCGCGATCTCTAGGGCAGTACGGAGTGAAAGTAGTAGCATGAAGAGTAGCAGCAGCAGTAAGAGCAGCAGAGCGGCTCGGTGAGGCTAGGCTGCAGCACCTCCAGCACTCCTAGCAGCACCTCCACAAGCAGCAGCAGTAGCACGAGCAGAAGGGCGGATCAGGTTAGGCAGGGCGGCTCAGGCTGGGCGGCGCGGCTCGGTGTGGTCGACGTGGGTAGTAAGATGCGCGCTGTGCAGGGTAGCACGGCGCGACGCACGGGCTGCCGTAGGGCACGACACGTGGGCTGCGCGTGCTCGGGGCAACGTGACGCGAGGCAGGGCTGGGCGTGCGCTGGGCAGCGCGACGCAGTGCAGGGCAGGGCGTGCGCGGGGCCGCGCAGCGCAGGGCAGGGCAGGGCGTGCGCGGGGCAGCGCGACGCAGGGCAAGGCAGGGCGTGCACGGGGGTGCGCGACGCAGGGCAGGGCAGGGCGTGCGCGGGGCAGCGCGACGCGGGGCAGGGCAGGGCGTGCGCGGGGCGGCGCGACGCAGGGCAGGGCGTGCGCGGGGCAGCGCGACGCGGGGCAGGGCAGGGCGTGCGCGGGCGGCGCGACGCAGGGCAATGGGGTAACATGGTAACCGCAAGCGGTTGCTAAGTATGGTGGGCCCGAAAAAAAAAACGGTCCTACGGACCTACTGCTCTGATACCATGTCAAGATAGCTGGCAGGAATGACTGCATTGAATGAAATGTGGGTACAAGTACTAACCCTAACTTTGGGTTGTACCCCATATGGGCTACCCCACTATAGCCTACATATAACGAACACATATATAGTTTGACATCAGGAACCTTTATTTAGCCGAGAGAATTGCTTCTTTGCTGGGCCGAGGAGTCTTGGGAGTTGAGCCATTCGTTTCGAGGGAGAAGGTTTGCGGGGTGGTATTGTGGCCATTTGAGGCTGGTTGAGAGGGTTGCGAAGGTGTTCTCGCATCGCCGTTCCGCAATGTTTGGAGTCCTTGCTCCAAGCTGGTGAGTTGCTGAAGCAGTTATGCGAGGACCGCAATCCCAATCGTCGTCGTTTCCTCGTTTGTCGCAGCCAGATTGGACTGCGTTTCGGCGGTCAGATTCGTCTGACCTCCGGATCCTCCGGCCATCCTTACGCGCGAGCGTGTGCTGGATGCCACTTTTTGATCGTTAAATATTTTGGTGGTGGCGTTGCGAAGAATTCCCGAGCTGCTCTCAAACTATGCTACGAGCAAGAGTTGATCGTAACCAAGATCACCTCGGGAAGGTTTGCAAAGTGTGTGTGGTAGTGGTGGGCCCTTGACCTCAAATCAGAGTGAATGTAAAATGATTGAGATGATTTAAAACATGCTGATACAAGCATATAAATAGTAGAACAACGGAATGTCAAGCGTCCTAGCTAGCTGTGTACTCTAAGAGGTAAATTCCCTTGTTCGAATTGAAACCCAACCATGCAGTGCGTACAGTTACGGAATTGTTCCCGCCAATTTCCTTGCTCCTGTAGCTGCCCGATGCTATCTGCTCCGACGGTCCAGATGCCCTCCAACTGTTCGCATCGCTTCGAGTCACTTCTGACTCCTAGTTTCCAGCTCCGATTCTGTGTATTTCGCTAGCTACTGTCGGGAGTGTACAGTGCCTTTTCCTAATTTGCCATTTGTAACATCACTCAGCTTAGAAACTCGTCCCTGTGAGAGTGCGACGACTAGCCTTACCTTTATTTATCTTATCATGCGTTACATTGTTTGGATTTATTTTCTTATGCACGCCTCTGCTCGTTTTCCTTAGAAACGTTGCTTACTATACACGAAATTTTTCGAAAGTGTGTAACACTTTCTAAAAATGCATATTGTGAAAGCGCAGCTGAATGTAGCACAGCAAGGCAACTGCAAATTAGAATTCGCCGAATATATGAGAGGGTTGGAGGCCATTTGGCCTCCATCCACGTCTTCATTTCGGAATTTTGCAGTCCCACTCCATTCTTGTCCAACAACCAGCAGTTGTTCCTGTTTCCTTGGTTGTCATCAACCGTACCTCCACAGAAAATTAGTACGCACTAGTAGTGATGAAATTGAACGTTTTGGGTTTAGGGTTACGTTTATTTATTTACATCGTGCCACTTTTCCTAGCTCCCTCGACGAGATTGCACCACATCTGCGGAAACATGCTCGCCAAGGCTCTCGATACATTTTGGGGAAACCTGATCCAGGTTGCGACCCACTACACCCTGCCTCTGCAGTGTGCCTTGGCAGTTGTACCCAAGAAATGGCTGTGCGTTTTTCTTTCAAGGTCAAATCTAGCAGGCTGGGACCCGCAATCGACCCTGCCATTATCGTTTATTCCCTGGTCGAACTGGGTCTTCCTGGCCCGATTTGAAGTGTGTACCTCAACTGGCAGAGAGGGTGGTCGTCTCCTTGCGAGTGCGTGGTAGTTGAGGTTTTAGTGGTGTAGGGTGGAGAGATGAGGGGCCTGCCGATGGG